TGTGTGTGTGTGTGTGTGTGTGTATTTGTGTGTGTTCATGCAGGACTACATCTCAGAGTTTAAGTTTAAGAGTGTGGTCGCTCAGGACCTGATTGATTACTTCCTGCATTACTTCCCACATCTGCAGGATGCTGCTGTCACTCAGAGAGAAGGTGAGTCTGGGCAGAAGAACACCTGATCCAGGTGGCTCCTCCCCTTTGAGCCAGTCTCTGACCGGACTGGGCCTGTCTTTTAGAGGGAGTGTATCGGTGTAAATAATTTTCTCTTTTCTTTGAAACATTTTGTCACAAAGGAACTCCTTATCACAGAAACTCACTTTTTTCTGTTTTGAGTCTCAATGTCATACTGTCAGTGGTGACATCACTTCCTGTTCTCAGGTCTAGAGTTTGAGCGCTGGCTGAGTGGCTGTGGACCACCACCGTTTGAGCCAGACCTGTCTGCAGGGAGCACTCTGATCGGGCCAGTCCAGGATCTATGCAACCTGTGGAGGGGTGCCAACCCCCCTGACCAGCAGTCTCTCAGCCCCTATGACCTGTCTACCTGGAGCACCTTCCAGGTAGTTCTGTTCCTGGACCGTATGTTGGACCACTCTCCACTACCTAATGGTAAGTTACAAAACAACCGGACCAACAGTCTAACAATCTGACCAACAATCTAACAGTCCGATGAGCAGTTTAGCCATCAATTTTGCCAACAGTCTGACCAATAATCAGACCAAAAATTGGACCAACAATCTGACCAACAATTGGACCAACAATCTAACCAACAATCTGACCAACAGTATGACCAACAGTCTGATCAATAATCAGACCAAAAATTGGACCAACAATCTGACCAACAGTCGGACCAACAATCTAACCAACAATCTGACCAACAGTATGACCAACAGTCTGATCAATAATCAGACCAACAATCTGACCAACAGTTGGACCAACAATCTAACCAACAATCTGACCAACAGTCTGATCAATAATCAGACCAAAAATTGGACCAACAATCTGACCAACAGTCGGACCAACAATCTAACCAACAATCTAACCAACAATCTGACCAACAGTCGGACCAACAATCTAACCAACAATCTGACCAACAGTATGACCAACATTCTGATCAATAATCAGAC